GTAGACTGTTTTAACATCTGTAGACTGTTTTAACATCTGTAGACTGTAGATGGTCAAACAGATGCATGGTGCACTCTGAACAGCTGCATCCAGCTGTGCCAGCACATCATCTGCTAATATTTCTGATTTTCTGCTTGCTGTTGAAGCTGACATCAAGATTTGTTTGATATTTTCACACATCTCGCCTTTTTGTTTTCCATCCAATAATGTCAACAGCATTTAAGCACTTCTTCAGGACTGTCCCGGCACTAAACGTTTTTTTATGTTGCCCCAAAATCCACCGCTCCTTGAGTGAACATTCAGCTGCTGCTGGGCTGTAGAAGTATTTGTGATGAGGTGGATCTGTCATACTGGGCTTGCAGTTCGGTTAATTTACTGCTCTCTGCTCGACTTCAGCAAAAGAGATGCGTTTAGTTTCGTAGTGGCGCTTCACGTTGCCACTTTTAATTAATGTGACCGTTTCAGAGCATATGAGGCAAACAGGTTTTGAACTGCCTGATGGAAGAATGAACATTCATTTCTCTGTCCATTCATCTTTAAAACACCAGTTTACAGCAACAACTTCTCTTATTTTGGAGCACGACATGACGCGTCTTCATCTTTGTTTCTTCTCAAATCTTCTCTGAGAGCTCGGTGCACCGGCCGTGCAGGAGAAACAAAAGATTTGATTGGCTCTTTAACGGAGTGATGCTATTACTGTAACACCTGAAGTAGAGTGAACCTCCAAAACACACCTCCTGCTTCTCTGCTTGGCTCTGCACCTAAGTTGTCAATCACTGGAAAAATGCTCCATGAAAATGATCTATTTTTGTGAATTTATCATATTGGGCATGGGTTCGGACAGAACCATCACTGGGTCCGCCTATTAGTGACCTAGGCCTTATTGGACTACAATAGAAAATATTGTAGTTTAGCAAAAAAAAAAAAAACAATAAGGCAGAAGTTGAAAGAAAGAGGAGTACTAACTAAAAATCAAACACTTACCACTGGACTGAATCTTAAACTCAAAATAACTTTTGTTTTGGTGCAAAGGAGCATTAGCAAGGCAGCCTCCAGTCCCACATATCCTTCGACCACTCTTTACAATGACGACATCAGTGCCTGCAAGACATCAAAAGCACAGATTACTTTTAGAGTCAGAGTCATTTGTCATACGCAGCACATGTGGTACATGTGGTGGAACGAAACTGTGCACACAGGGTCCCAGCTACATACAACAAAAGTATAGAATGTAAACGAAAAACGGTAATAAGATCTAAGATATGAACTAAGAAAAACGTTAACTAAAAATACGCTAAGCACTAGTAGTACAGAAACAATACGCCAAACAGCAGCACGAACATGAGTGTGTGTGAGCAGATGAGTATGAATGAACAGCAGTATGAAACAAATCAGCAGCATGATGTGATTTTTTTCACATTGATTATCCTGGTTAGAGATTCAATTCAATTCAATTCAATAATACTTTATTAATCCCAGAGGGAAATTAAGTGTTGTCGTAGCTCATCATCCTGGTTCTATTCAATCGTTAGATGCCGATAGCAGTGGGAAGGATCTCCTGCAGCGAATACAAAGAATCTGGCCACAGATACCGATCCGTTCACCCAGATCCAGCTTGCTGTCAGATCCGGCTGGCCTCTCGGTCCTCCTGGGCAGCAGGGCCGCCCGAATACTGGGCAGAATTCCTCCCTGAACAATGGTCACTCCTCCCAGCAGTCTGCCGAGCTCCTCGTTGCCACGGACAGACAGCTGAAGGTGCCGGGGGATGATCCCGGTCTTCCTGATGTCACAAGCTGAGTTTCCCACCAGCTCCAGAACCTCGGCGGTCAGGCACTCGAGCACCGCCGTCAAGTTGACAGGAATTTGTCCATGGAGTCTCCTTTTCAACTCAACTCAATTCAATTCAATTCAGAGTCTTAATAGGTTCAGGGTAGAAGCTGTTCCGTGGTTTTACACTTAATGCTCCTCAACCTCCTGCCTGAGGGGAGTGGGGCAAAAAGTGTGTGTGCTGGGTGAATGGAGTCCTTCATGATGCAGGTAGCCTTCTTGCTGCATCTGCAGGTGTAGATGTCTGTGATGATGAGGAGACTGACTCCAACAGACTTCTGTGCAGCCTTCACCACTCTCTGCAAAGCTTTTCTTTCTGCAGCTGTGCAGCCTCCATGCCACACAGGATGCTCTCCACTGCACACCTGTAGAAGCAGGTGAGGACTGAGCTTCCCAGACCAGCTCGCCTCAGCTGCCTGAGGAAGTACTTTGACTACTTCTTTTACCATGTACTTATACTACTTCTTACTACATGTTTCTTTGTTTACATGAACATTTTCAAGTTGTGGTATTTTCTTGTTTGTCCCCAAGCTTAAATAAAAAAGGGTAAAAAAAAAAAAACTTTTTTGAAGATTCTCAGTCATCAGGACATGGTCAGTCCAAAAAAAAAAACTTTTTTTTTGGACTGACCATGTCCTGATGACTGAGAATCTTCACCTTCACACACATGCTTAAGTTACATGTCTTACACACAAACTGAAACAAGAGTGTCAATGATTTCGTTTAACGCGCTCATTATTTTTTAATCAAATATTTTATTTATGTGCATAGTTGTTTACATTTAGCTATTTATTTAAATAAGACAAACTAACCTTGGCATCTATCCACCTAAGACGAGGAACAGTAATAATAACTGTATTAAGACGTAAATAACCTATTTAAAAAAAAACAAACGCACTTGGTTAGCTAGCTTAATCGTACTAGCGGCGCGTGAATGTTCCGCTTGTTAATATTTGTGGACTTTAACTACCGCGTTAAATCCATAAACGCATCCTCACCCATGTGATGAGTGTCTAACTGGACAGTGGGCATCTCTTTGAGGGGAATGTGTCCGGATCCCCCTTCTCCGCAGCAGCCAAAACAACACGTAAACACCGCAGCCATTCTCGCTCAGTCACTGACTAAACATCCGGAAAGAAACCAAAGAGCGACCTCTGTCAAAACGTTAAAAGTCTCCGCTATGTGCAACAGCGGCACCCTGCGGCCGAGCGGGGAATTGCACAAGCGCCTCGCTAACACTGCATCCAATCACAGTGGTTAGATAGGCAGTTGCTCCTGATGGCATGGAAACAAGGGAAGAAAATCAAGGTCAACATTTCTACACGTGACTAAGTAACTATTGGGTATCGATGTTACATAACCTCGACTGAACCGAAAGTGGATTATAGAAGGGGGAATGGGGGGAACATGGTTTAATTTAGGTGTTGAATCATTTATTACTGCAGGGCATACACACAGATTTGCCTTCTACTGGTGCATGTTGCAGATATTAAAATGACTCCACAGGGCTGGTGCACAGCTCCGTGACAGCTTTTATGGCCGTTATTTTAGCTTCACGGCCACATTTGTTTTATTTTATTTTAAGTAACAGCTGTAAAATGCTGAACACAAGCCACTAAAGTAGTTCAGAGTTGCAGCACGTGACGCCACGCTGGAACTAAAACCTACTTGACAGTTTTTCACGCGGTAATGTTTTGCATAGCAACAGCCCCTCCCCCACCTGGCAGCCAGGGATCATCAGCAAATTACCCCGCAGCGAAAAAAGCGTAAACGCGCGAATGCGGTCAAAAGAAGCGGCCAAACGACCCAGCGCACGTGTACTTTTATATCCCCAGCAACGCGTTTCACAAGATGTTTTCTGTGCGCACTGATACAAGCGGGTTGTTGGGTTTTAAAACTTCCGCGCAGGGAAGAAAGGGTTAACAGCAAACCCGGAAAGGGCGAAGTCTGCACGGCAACAAGCGCCATGATGGTGATTGCGTCGCGCTGAGCGCCTCCAGCAGCTGGTGAGTGATTCTTTTGGTCCAGTAGTTGCATGTTACTATGCGCTTGCAAAAATCTGTCACAGCCCTCCTCTCGGTTGCAGCCTTGCCAACAAGGAGCAGCATCACCAGCGAACCCCGTGCGTCGATAACTTGACGCACTTTGGCTGACGGTGATTCAGGGAGCGCACAGCTCAACCAGACGCCGCCCTGCTCAGAAAATAACTGTAATTGACATTTTTGGGGACACTTTTAGACAATCTGTAAGTTTATTTCAGCGATCAGAGGGCAGGATGTCGCACAGCGGCGTGAGTCTTGTTTGCGCACATGCCAGGTTTTTACGCGGGCACGGCGGTTCGAGGCAGTTTCTCTTTCAGAAGGGGAACACAGCTGGAACGTGACAGCATGACAGATCAGTTTTTTTTGCGATGCTTGTGTGTTTTATTATTTATTATGATGCTTTTGGTGACTGAAATTGAAGCTGCGTCCCCATGAGTGCGGGTGCGTATTCTGCTGAGCGCCTTTCTTCTATTCACTGAATCCCGCCTGACGGAGTCATTTGACTGCTGGCTGTGTTTGCAGGTTATCACCATGGAGCAGCTGGAGGAGGAGCTGACGTGCGCGGTGTGCTGTGGTCTCTTTGAGGACCCGCGCGTCCTGCTGTGCTCGCACAGCTTCTGCAAGAAGTGCTTGGAGGGTCTCCTGGAGGGGATCCGAGCCTTCAGAACGCCCCTCAAATGCCCCACGTGCCGCAAGGAGACCCCTCACAACGGCGCCAGCAGCCTGCAGATCAACTACTCCCTGCGCGGGATAGTCGACAAGTTCAGCAAAATCAAGGTGGCGCCCAAAATGTCCGTGTGCAAGCAGCACCACGAGCAGCCGCTCAACATCTTCTGCGCCACCGACCTGAGGCTCATTTGCGGCGTTTGCGCAACCACCGACGCGCACAGGGGCCACGACTTCTGCTCCCTGGAGGAGGCGCACGAGCGAGAGAAGGAGGCGTTTGATGGGCTGCTGCTGCGCGTGGAGCGCTGGCAGAGCGCGGGCGCGCTGTCCTGCCTGGAGACGCTGCAAGCCAACAAGAAGAAGGCGCTCCAGTCGGTGAGCGCGGACGCAGAGAAGGTGGCGGACTACTTCGACAAGCTCGTGAGCGCGCTCGAGAGCAAGAAGAGCGAGATCCTGTCGGACTTCGAGACGCTGCGGCTGAAGGTGATGCAGGCGCACGACCCGGAGGTCAGCAGGCTGAGCGCGGCGCTGGACGAGCAGAAGGCGGCGCTCCGCGTGTCCGAGTCCATCCGGCGCGCCACGGACCAGCTGGGCTTCCTGCAGCTGATGCAGGAGTTTCGAGAGAAGATGAAGGTCCTGGAGGAGACTCCCCTCCCCTCGCGTAAAGACGTGCTGGTCGCACCGCTCGTGCGCAACTTCGACGTGAAGAAGTGGGATTCCCTCCAGCTCCGAGAGGTGGACAAGATCTCAGTCCCGCATGAAAGTGGCGCGTACAGAACGGGTGGATCAGGGATGGCGGGGTGCAGGGTGGTGGTCCTGGTTCTGTTCTTTCTGGCACTCCTCCTCCTCCTGCTCATCACTGATGATGGGACCTGGAAGAGAACCCCATTAATCACTAAACTCTCCTCCCACGCTAAAGAAATGACTGACATGCTGATGGATGCAGGTCAGAAATATTTAGCCAAGCTCAACTGTACACTTTATGGACACTTGTAAGTTCTAATCAGCCTTTTGGGCTTCTCATAACACTCACCATCAAAAGACTGTAAAGAAATAGAACACGTGGAAACATCAAATTGTCTTCTTTATTTTGCCTTCTTCATGCTGTAACCTCAGTGAACCAAAATCAGCACTAAACCCAGATTTACCCGAACTCACATCAACTCTAGGAATCTTTTGTATGTTGTTGTTTTTTTAATACGAGCTTTATAAATAAACCTGAGAAATTGGAGTCACTTCTATGATTGATTTCTCTCAGTGAACATCTCCCTGCATCAGTGATGCTGCAGCCTCTTCAAGGTTACAAACCTTACATAACAGGAGATGTTCAGCAGGCTGCACACACGTGACGAACAGGAAAACTCTGTCATAGCTGTTTTTTTATATAAAACCTAAAAATTCAACAGCTGGCTCGCAATCATAGTGCAATTATGTCTTATAAGGGACTTCATGCAGCTTATTTGTTGTAAAATATCTGCAATATGTTCAAGAATGGTGCAGGACCGACTGTTAAACCTGGAACTATCACGGATGATTTACTTGTCTTTAATCTACTCTGCAGGGATGCGTTTTGTTGGAGAAGAGAGGAAAAGGATCCTGAAACGACCACAAAGTGAATGAGTGATGTCAGCAGATTTCAGGATGTGCGTCATGGCACGCCTCTACATATATATAGCTTTCTGTTGCCAGGGAATATAGGATGAAAGCGCACGTCTGCATTAATATTTCAGTTGCCATGTCACTCAAAATGAAATGTAGATTGAAATAAAATTAATAAAAACCACGACTTTATTGACAGGGCTGAGCTCACAGCCATCCAGTTTCTATCCAAAATGTGCATGGAGAGAATAAAAAAAACTAAACTCATTTAATTGTTAAACCAGTTCTGTATTTTTAATACTGTTTCTAGTTAGTGATAATCATCTTTAATGTCAGAATGCGCAAACTGTGTGCGCACAGAGAAGCGGTCCCGAGGAGGGTGCGGATGCACAACGCGCGGCTTTTTGGTGCAAAACTCCGTTTTCATCCCATCAATTAAAATAAAATCAAAAAAGGAGAAACGGTGAAAATTTAAGGAATATTGTTGTTTACGCAACGGCTGTTAGGAAAAACAGCTGAATTTCAGCTCATAAATCAAATCTGCTCCCACGACCTGGTTTTCTTGCAGCCGTCACAAATTTTATTTATAAATTAGTGACTACACATAATACATAAAAAAAATATATATCTGTTTAGTTAAAACTGGGAGAAAATATATTTTCAAATCCACTACAATACGTTCAGCGTAAAGATCTTTACATTTCAAAATCGCAAATTTAAAAATATAATTATAAAAGGGATTACAAATGTCTTCCCTCCGAACAAAAAAAAAAAAAAAAATAGAGCCAAAATTCTGATTTAATGTTTTAAAAAATATATATATATATATCCTGGATTGTTTATAAAGAAAATAGGCCAGAGAGGCCAAATCGGAGGGAAGTATTTATTTCAATGTGCGCAAAACGAGATCAGGCCTGACCGAGATGTAGAAAAACACAAAAACAGCGCAATAATCCTCATAATTTAAGTCATAAAACGGCCTGAACATGTAACCTTAATCTGACATTACAGCGCGTCGTGGCGCATTTCATTGAATTAATTTAAAAGGTGAAAGCGGACACGCGCTCTTCATTAGATCAGTTCAGACGGCTCATAATCTCAAATTAATAAAGAAAAAGGCCCAAAATATTCAGACTTTTATCACGTCATTTCAAGGCCCGTGTTCAGATTATATACTGTAGATTTAAACAGATTATCGTTGCGCGTCCTGGACGGAGGACGCGCCACCTGTTAAATTATAGGCGCCAGGACGCCTCGTGATTTAACATGTTATGATAAACATTATATACAGTATACACATTTATATATATAAATATACACACTAAATGTTTACAAGCTGGTGCTTTTTGTTGCAACAGATCAGTAAACGGGATTATAAAGGCCGTCAACAGGACATGCTGTGGAGGCGTCAGGTCATACTGGTGGAGGAGCCGCAGCTGATCTGGGATCAGGCCTCCTGCTCCTCCTGCAGAGGCCGCAGGCCCCGAGCTGGACCTCTGCAGCACCGTCACTGATCCAGAACCCTGATTTAACCTGCAGAATAAAACAAGTTCTGCTTGTAACATGTAAAAATACACAGAGACCAAACTGATTTAAATGTTTATTTGCAGCTTGTTCAAATACATCTGGAGAATGTTCGAAAACGGTATTTACCTCTTTAGGTGGTAGAATTGAAAATCTAAATAAAAATGCTACGTGAGAACTTTGATGCAATTAGTGATGGAAGCAAGTTTTATTTATTCGAACGCTGCGTGTGGTCAGCCTTGCTTCAGCAGCACGATCAATACTGGAGACTTCAGCTAGTCTTAACTCCAATATTTACGTGCTGCTACAGTACGGCCGCCAGCGAGTCAGTAATAATCCACCAACCTTTCTATTATCATCAGCAAACTAATCCAGCAGTATTAACTAAGGCTGCTGCACTGTGAGCGCAGGCAGGTGGAGGAGCTGCAGGCGACAGCTGGGTCGTCTCTCCGGGCGTTGTTGCGGCAGCACAGTATGGCCTGCATCTCACAGTAACCCACAAACCATTCCGTGCTGCTACAGAACCACCTGGACTGGAGGTGCGCTCCCGTTGCTTCTGCCTCATCTTCGTCCTTTCGGCGCTTTCCCCATAATCCGAGCTGCTAATCTGCACAGCACGTTTATAGATGGACCTATTCGACTCCTATGATCTGCAGAATCCAATTTTGTCCTTCATAAGCAGGCGGGGGGGTCCACCATCTGAAACACAGAAAGAGAAGAGGGAAATGAAGATTAAGATGAGACTGAAATCCAAGGTAAATTTTAAAAACACAGTTCTGAGTCACGCTGCAGGAGTTTGGTCTCATGGACGACGAGGCTCGACTCAGCGTCCCACAGCTGCTGCAGCACGATGAGGTCAGGGCTTCCCACAACAAGAAACGTTACTTGATGCAGAGAGGCACGGTGGTGGTGAAACCAGGGGCAGTTTGAAATTGTTACCACATTAAAAGACGTGTTGACAAGGATCGTCATATGGTGGAACATTTGTTTTGAACCAAGCAGCTTGGAGGCACGATTGTACACTGCCTCTACAAGGTCACATGTTCGTCACATTATTTATCTAAAAGGGCAAATTGAGTTTATGTAAATGATTTTAGATAAGTGTTCCTCAAGTTTAGCAAAACACACTTCTAGATGCTGTTCCAAGTGAAACCACTGACTCAATTAGGTCAAAATTGACAAAAACCAGTAAAATTGGCTTGCCTAAACTTAAATACGTTTTTTGCATATAAATAAAGCACAAGGTAACTTTTAGGAGCAGTCAGGTGAGAAAAAGAACAGTCTTGACAAAAGAAGCACTCATGTCAGACGTATACAAACATTTGATAAAAGATAAATGCAGGATCCCACGGACATAACTACAACTCCACACTGAGACACTAAAGTAATGACGACCCGACACAAACCGTTGCATCATTCCAACAGGAAAGAAAAGGGGCATCATTTTGAAATATGGTTATTTACCATTAGAATAAACATAAAGTTAATAAACATGAAAAGCTGTCCAGTAACGGACACAGAATGTGGAAAGTACTGCTGAAAAATATCATCTACTGAAGCGTCACAACCAAACTGTTCTAGTTGTGAGACTGTCAGCTGCTAAATGCTTTAAGATTTTAAAATATATATTCACAGCAGCTGCCTCTTAGTGAAGATTGCAGGTGTGCCACCTGGCCTGGGACCTTTCTGGGTGGACTTTGCATGTTCTCCCTGCGCACACGTAGGTCTACTCCGGGAACGTTGCTTTCCTTTCACAGATCAAAAACAGACGTGTTAAGACAGGGAACACTAAATCGTCTGTAGGTGAAAGTGTCTCTCTGAGGCCACGTGACCTGTCGAGGGTGCACACGACTGCTGGACACAGGAACCCGCTGCCCACGATCCAGAAAGAAGCAGGTAAAGAAAACTAACAGAAATAAATATTCACAAAATACGAAGGTCAAATAAAAAAAAAAGCCCTAATTTAACTTGGCTTGCCAACAATGCAGGCATATCTTTTCCTGTAATAATCCCAGTGGAGATGGGAAGTGATGATTATGTTGCCACTAGAGGTCTCAATGGACCTGTGATCGTGGCCTAACTGAAATGGACCCAGAACAAATCTAATAGAGTCACAATGTACTAATGTCGAAAATTCACTGGCAAGTCACACAGTGCTTTATTTCCTCTCATCACTAAAACAGAGCAGTGATGGATATAAAAAGCCACTGCAGTCACTCACCCACCCCCAACTTTTTATTTTTTTTAAATCACTAATATGCAAGTTTGATCATGAACACACAAATATGACAAGAGGAAAGCAACATTAACATAAAAATAAAGACTTAGCCAATAGCCACAGTTTCTGTTCTGATTAGCATTATGACAACATTGTAATTAACAAATAAAAATCCATTGAAAAACTCAAATGATTCAACTTTTATATAGTACACGTTAGTCAGAAATACTAAATGTAAAAGCACACATCTGAATTAAGAGCCGTCGTAAAGTTCAGAGCAGGCCAGTTTATCAAGTTGTGTTAAAGCTGACACAACTGGTGAAGTTACACATAAAGTGAAACCTGTCAAATTATAAACTGACATTCATATCTAGTCACACAATAAAAATGATCAAAGCTTTAGTGGTCAAAACTTTATTTTCAATCCCAATCAGTTTAAATGAATGTATGCTTACAAAGAATGTACCATTTCAGGTTATGTATTTAGAAATATAAGTCAGAATGTTGTAGTAATACTAGTAGTTGAGCTTTCTCTGAGAACAGACAATATTTAATCTGAATATTTTAAGATAAAACAACGATGTACAATAATAGGAACGTTTCAGAGTGAAAATCCAGACAAGCAGGTCGGTGGTAAGACTGAGGAGCTGCAGTATCTGATTAACTTGTCTTTTATTATTGATGTAAAACAATATTTTTACAGCAAACCATAGTACAATTTCCTCAAAAAATACA